GCTCGCCTCAATGTTCGGGAAGTCAAATCTGTAACCTGCCGACCATATTCGTGCAAACTGGCTATCCCTCACCGGTATGTTGTTGCATCTGCATTTCCAACTGGTAGAACAGATGTAGGCCAATAGCCTGCACAACTTGTAAAATATTAATTACGGAACGCTAGGTTAAAGTTATAAGTAAGTATACCAAATAACATACCAACGCCTCATGCCTCCGGGCGTATGGAACGTACCGACCGCTAGCGCGATGAATGGGTTTCCCGATGAAAAGTCGAGTAACACTACGGTACCAGCGCATATACTCATGCTCAACATCCATACACTCAGGTGGAGGGGGTGGCGGAATCAGGTCATGTCGCTGGTCCCAAATCTCGATCTGCGCCTCTAGCCATGCCACATATGTCTAGTCAACCCTGGAACGATCATCCCCCTGGTAATGTGTCGTAATCCAAGCGAGCGGTGGAGGTACAAGCTATGATCGACCAAATTGGCGAAGGACTTGCTCGGTGGCATGATGCTCGACAATATCGAGACACATCAACGGTACGGAAGAGCTCGACATAATTCGGCCGGTCGAGCAGTAATCGGGCAAACCAGCTATTAGCTCATTGCTGCATGGCCTCCAAATGAACATAAGTAAAAACAGAAACCGTGAGTATACGCAACGTATATAAAGCCAGGCCAAGTAAACTTAAGTATACATTTTACCTGCACGCCCTCCAGAAAATCCAACAAATACCTCCAATAGGGGAGATTATGTCGAGCCTCGTACTCGCGTCTGTATCCTTGCCTATGAACCCACCTCCTAGCTAAAAGAAGAAATGGTGGAGGTGGTGCACCCGGAACAATGGGTGGTAGAGGTGGATGCAACTGCAGGAACCGCTCCCAGGCCCAAACCTAATATACAATTTGGACGTAAAAGTTAAGGTATATTTTTACTATGTATGTTATAATCATGAAAATAATTGACTATGTTTTCACCTGCAGAAGCGGCAAAAATCCGGCAACATCGCGCTGGGTGATCATGCTATCCTGGCACATCTGCCTGTACAAGTAACCAAGAACAGCTGCACCCCAGCTGTAACCAGGTAAATCATCTAGCCGCTCAAGATGATGAAGAAATCTAAAGCTGACTAGGTTTCCCAAAGTTTTCGGGAACAATACCCCTCCAAACATAAGCAGCATCAACAATATCGTGTACCGGTTAATATGAAGATCCGGTGTATCATCTGTAATGTCCGCATGCATTGCCTCCAGATGCAACCGGACGGGCATCAACTGCAAACGAATAGCCCCACTCAATGCAGCATCATCCGCTGGCTGGAAACTGGTGAGATGTTGCAATTTCTCCAGGTACTGCACTCCCGTATAATCTCTGATAGCATGCGGTAAAGCTACAAGATGACCATCAACCGGCAGCCCATATAGAATCTCCACATCCTGAAACGTGATAGTAACCTCGCCAATGGGTAAATGAAATGGATGCGTCTCCGGTCGCCACCGCTCTATAAAAGCTGTGATCAATGACCAATCTAGCTGCAACCGTCCGATCTCATTAATCCTATAGAAACCCGTATCCTGAATGCGTCTGACTATACGGGGATGGAGATGGTGGTCCCTTAGAAAGTCTCACATATCGCCTACTCTTCTAGCACGAAACGTCTGGGCCAATAACTGCCTCTCCCATATGTACGAAGACCTATGCTCGGCCTGTAGCAATAGTAGCTCTAGCGAGGCAGGTCCGGGATGCACAGGCAGAACCTCCATGACGCTACTGTAAATTGAACAATATTAATTAAAGTATTTTTCTTTTTCATTGTTTAACATCTTTAAATATATTGCAATACCTTTAATATTAAAATTTATTAGATTTTTTTACTATATTATTAACTAGGTTGATACATTTTCTATTATTATTTTATATTTTATATGTTAGTTTATTATTTTATATGTTACTTTAATATTTTATATGTTAGTTTACTATTTTATATGTTTGTTTATTATTTAATAGGTTTGTTTCTTATTTAATATGTTAGTTTATTATTTTATATGTTAGTTATTATTTTATATGTTAGTTTATTATTTTATATGTTAATTTATTATTTTATATGTTAGTTTTATTATTTTATGTGTTTGTTTGTTACTCACCTATTTTTGACTATAATAAAATTAAATAATCAATTTTCATAGCTACACAGGATTTAATTATTAAATATTCATATAATAGTACTTAGTTTGAGTCCAAATGAACCACATTTTGATTCCAGACTCGATATTTGAGGTCCAGTAGCACCAAGGTATCAAATGTTCTTGTGTTCATGATGAGAAAAATTTCCTGATTTATCACTCAACAGGACTTTTATTTTATATGTTAGTTTATTATTTTATATATTATTTTATTATTTTATATATTATTTTATTATTTTATATGTTAGTTTTATTATTTTATATGTTTGTTTGTTACTCACCTATTTTTTACTATAAAAAAATTAAATAATAAATTTTCATAACTATACAGGATTTAATTATTAAATATTCATATAAAAATACTTAGTTTGACAAATATTGTTGTTTTCTCATATTATTTTCTTACGTTTGTTGACTAGAATTGGAGAGAGTTTGTGTCTGACAGCTTTTTGAGATATTTTTGGGTTTAACGGGTACTTAAATGATTAATTTCAATAACACAAAGATATTACGCTAAAGGTCACTACATTTTACTACGCTAAAAGGGCACTACATTACAAATATGAGCGCTACATTAGGGCACAAGATACTATTACAGGGAACTAAAGTCATATATTCATATATGTACAACAATAACATCTAAATAAGATTAGTTATTCCAAAAATAACAATTTATTTATTTTACTAGTTTTTCATAAAATAACTAATCTAAACCGAATAAAACTAACAAATTAATTTAATTACAAAACAATTACGAAAAAACATATATCATAGTAAAAAGTAACTAATTAACATTTTTTTAACAACTAATAATAATTTTTCTATTTTACTGATTTTTTTAGCATACTAATAATATAATTCGGATATAAAACAATAAATTAATTAAATTGCAAAACAATCATGAAATAACATAGGGCACAGGAAAAAAACTAATAGGCATTTTTTATACATGAGTTTTCCAAAAACTAAGTCGGAATAACTCGATTATTAAATTTTTGGAAACTTGAAGATTTCGTTATTTGGAACCGAACGAGCAACCCACTATGAGATAACGCCTTAGCTAGGATGTGGGACCGAGAATCTACACTTTTGTGGGATCGGTTGGCTCCACTCGAGCTTTTTTTTGCTTAATATGGGAGGGGAGGGGGGACCGCTGTTCGTTTTTTAATTTGAGGAGGGGGGTGAGGGTTTTGTTTTGGTGGGGAAGGAGAAGGGCCGATAATATATGTAGGTATAGTACCTTAATGTAAAACGCAATAAAATAGCTCCTTATATTAAGACGCTATACCTTCCCGCTCATTTTATGTTCAAATATAGCGTCTTATACTAGGGCGCTATACCTTAACTGGGCAAACGGCCGTTAAGGTATAGCGCCTTAAGCTAGGCCGTTATATATATTTTGGTTCCCAATTTTTTTTCACACATTTTGGTTCTTTGAGTCCAAAAAAAACACTTTTAGTTCCGGACTCCAGGACCAATACCCAACCTATTAACAATTTGACACAGTCTATCTATACCTATTCAAAATCCCCCGCCACCTACGAATACCACCGGTAAGGACACAATATACCAAACTACCAGCAGATAATAGCCATAAAATTCCGAGAATCCCAACCAAAATTCCACTACTATAAACGCCGGAAATGGAATTTCCGTCTCTGGCACACCAACTACAATCCAAGCCAACACTCTCACCGAAAAATTTATACAACAACAACCAAAGATTTCAGCAAATTTTGACACACCTGATTGGAAGAGCATAAATCAAGAAGAATCAACCATGCAGGAGAAAAGAAATGAAGAGAAGGCCACTAACTCATTTCAGATCCTTGTGAATAAAGGTGCAGTAGGTGGAGACAAAACTACTCTGTCTAGGATCAACAAATGGAACCAAGGTACGTCTAAACCATCCTTTGTTGCGTCTGTCCAGCTGGAATTACCATCCATGGCAGAATGTGCAAAAAATGTGGAAATTAAACATGGTACCAATCTAGGAAAGCCAGCAGTGCATTTTAGTGCAGAGGTTACTTTGGGAATCTTGCACATGAATGTAGGCTCACCTTAATTGGGAAGTTTTATAGAACCAAACCACCTATGGAGGATATAAGGAAGGCTTTCGTTAGCCAATTCCACTTGAAAGGAACTGTTAAAATTGCTTACTATGATCGGCAAAATGTTTATATCGACTTTACCAATGAAGTTGATTATACTCACATTAAGCTTAAGAATTTTGTGTGCATTAATGGTACTCCTATAAAGACTCTACTGTGGACACCTGATTTAAACCGGAACTTGAAACCCCTATCACTCCGTTTTGGATCCTTGTTCATCAATTGCCCTGGCACCTGTTCAGATGGGAAATTATGTCCAGAATGGTTCAATCTTTAGGTGTTGCAATTGCCCCTAACCTAGCGACATATTCTAAGTCTCGGGGTAATGTAGCTAAGATTAAGGTTGAAATTGACCTATTAAAACCAAAACAGGACCAAATTTGGCTGGGTTTTAATACGATGGAAGGGGTGATGGTGGTGTTTGGCTTGATGTTGAATATGAAGGAGTCCCTTCTTACTCCCTTTATTGTAAAATGCAAGAACATGTAAAAAGCATATGCAGGAGCAAAATAAGGGATGATAGAATCAAGAAAGAGAGGGAGGAAAGAATCAATATTGACAAAAGAAATTACCAACAAGATATTCCATCAACCAGTGGAGTCGCTCATAATAATGAGAAATTTAAGACAATGACAAGAAGAAAAAGGAAAAATGACAAGAATAGTCCTAGTTCTAATCGACAGATAGAGAAAGAAAACAAATATGAAGCAGAGGAATTTAAATGATCACGGAAAAAAGAGAAATGGGAAAATTGTCATCAGAGAACCACCTATGATACTGCAGAAGGAAGCTATTCAAGAAGTACCAAGAAAAGGGAAAGGAATAGACACAAGGGAACCAAAAGTAGCTCATAGGGATGCAGCGGATCAACAGGGTGCTAACCAGGATTATATTACTAAGAACAAAAAGAAGAGAAATAGAGCTAATAAACAAGAACATATCAAAGAAGGGGAAGAAGCAAGAGCACAAATCCAGCATGGGAAACAACAAGAGGTAAAATAAAGGTTAATGTAATGCAAATGACAAAGAATAACTCAAAAAGGAAGGATGATCAATGTCAACACTCACAACACGAGGAAGGTTTAAAGTCAAATCCAGAGGTAACAACTAACAATAGAGGGCAAGGTACATAAGAAGGAGAGCAGAAAACATCTTACCCTATTAAGCCAGGAGAAGTAGAAAAGAAATTTGACAATTGATTTCTGGTACTAATCTTGAAGGGAGATCTAGTCATGACAATGAACCAGTGTCTAATGAAAGCTCAGAGTCTTCTGATGATGAAAATGAGAATTCAGAAGATAATGACTATGAAGATGAGGAGGGCTCAGATGAAAGTGAGGAATATGCAAGTATGGATAGTGAGGAGGAGGACAGTGATGATAATGCAAACAGACTGGTGGAAATATTTGTAGGGAATGCAACAATCACACATGCTGTGAATAATGTAATCAACTCAGGTCATTTATCTCCTCGGACAAATATGGGCCAAGAGAAGGCAAGGGAGCAGCCAGAGGAAAAGGGGGCATATTCTCTTCTCAAAGGCCTCCCAAGGCCTAAAAATCCACGTTCTATCTGACCATTAATTATGTTTAAGTCCCTTTATTGGAATATCAGGAGAATTAAGACCAATGGTGCTCTTGAAAGTCTTATACAGTTGTTAGATCAAATAATTTCCCTTTTATTGCCTTAGCTGAACCTTTTCATAGGGCTATCAAATTAGATAAGTATAAGGGAATGTTGGGTTTTCATAATGCCTATGCAAATTGTAACTGTCAAGTTTGGTTATTTTGGGAAGAAGATCTTGGACTGTATAGTGGTTGATGAAGATGAACAACAAGTCACTTGTATTGTTAAGCATGATGGAATCTCGCTTCTCATTACATCTGTGTATGCAAAATGCGAGGATAAACTTAGAGAAGACATGTGGGATAAACTAAGTAGTATTGGTGTCAGCTTTAATTTACCTTGGTTCATCATAGGAGACTTTAACTGTATTACTGATCCCATTGAAAAGAAGGGTGGCTCTCCTCACAGGATGTCCAAAAGCTTATCATTTATCTAGTGTATTATGGATTGTGAACTGGTGGATGCAGGTTACAGTGGATCTTCTTTTACTTGGTGTAATAGGTGGTTCCCTAATAGAAGAATTTGGCAAAGATTAGACAGAGTTCTGGTAAATCATGAGTAGTTGAACTTATTTGATTGTACTTCAGCTAATCATTTAGTGAGAACTGGGTCTGATCATTCTCCTCTGCTAACTCTGACTAAATCTAGAATATATAATCCTTTTAATCATTTACAATTATTGAATTTTTGGGCCGAAGAAGATTTCTTTATGAATGTAGTAAGCAGGCATGGAATGAAGAGGTGCATGGATCACCTATGTGGAGATTTCACCTTAAACTGAAAAACACTTGCAGGAAACTTTCTGAATAGTCAAAAATCTCGGTTGGTAATATTTTTGATAACACAAAGGCATTGGAAAACAGAGTAGCTGAGCTTGAAAAGAAGTCCATTACTGACAATCCAGCTACTAACAGGGCTGATTTGAACAAAGCTAATGTTGAGTTGGTTAGAGCACTAAAAAGGAGAAGAGTATTCGAAGCAAAAATCTGAAATTAAATGGTCTGTTGAGGGTGAGATTAACTCTAGGTTTTTTATTCTGTCGTTAATGGGAAAAGAAGGAGGTTGTCACTGAAGAAAATAAAAAAAAAGAATAGAAGATGGATTAAAGGATACAATGAAATCACAAATGAAGTTATTCAATTCTTTCGAAAACAATGTTCTAAGGAGAATTTCCAGGTTGATTACTCCTTATTGAAGTTGATACCACGAGTAATTGATGAGGCAGACAATAAGAAACTAACTGCTCTACCAACTAAGGAAGATCTTAAAGATGTTGTCTTTTCTATGAGTGCTCATAGTGCATCTGGAGCTGATGGAATTTTTGAAAAAATTTATCAGACTTGCTAGGAAGTGATAAAGGAGGATTTACTAGTAATGGTCTTGATTTTTTTTGCAGGTACTGAATTGCCTAGGGCATTTACTCACACATGTCTGACTCTGATTCCTAAGGTGGAATGTCCTCAGCAGTTCACTGAACTACGGCTCGTTAGCCTTGGAAACTTTTCTTGTAAAATCATATCAAAGTTGATGAATCAGAGGTTGTGTCCACTCATGCAGAAATTGATATCTCCGTATCAGGCTAGATTCATTGAAGGCAGAGCTATCACTGTGAATTTATTATTAACCCAAACGATAGTTCATAATATTAATCAATCTCCGAATATTGGAAATAAGGTGCTGAAACTTGATATGGACAAGGCCTACGACAGAGTTTTGTGGGAGTATTTTTGCCAAGTATTTAGGCAGATGGGATTTGCGAAAATCTGGATCGATAGAGTTAGCAGGTTAATTTCAAATATCTGGTATTCTGTCAACATAAATGGTCTTGACATGGTTTCTTCAAATCAAGCAGGGGAATTAGACCAGGAGATCATATATCTCCTTCTCTTTTTGTAATTGGTGCTGAGTTACTTTCCTGACTTATCGACTCTTTGTTAGTGGAAGGTTTTATCCCTTATTTTTGTGGAAAAAAGGTCCAATATTAACTCATCTTTGCTATGCTGACGACACTATTCTATTCTCATCTGGGGATCATATATCTATGAAGATAATGATGTCAAAACTAGAGGATTATCAAAGGGTGTCAGGGCAGTTGGTGAACAAACATAAATCTCTTCTCTTTGTGTCTTCTAATTTCAATGACAACAGAATTATTGATATCAGAAATGTTGTGCGGTTTTCACACTCTCAATACAGTACTTTGGATGTCTTATTTTTGCTGGAAGGAAGAAAATTATTTATTTCAACAATATGGTTGCAAAATTTTCTAATAAATTGCTAGGATGGCAACGTAAATTTCTATCATATCGTGGTAAAGTTGTGCTTGTGAAGTTTGTTCTTCCATCCCTCCCTCTTTATCTTTTATATGTTCTTCATCCTCCTAAAACAGTCCTAGTTCAAGCCGAGAGAATTAGGGCTAGCTTTTTTTGGGAAAAGAGGGAGGATAAAAAGAAACATCATTGGATAGCTTGGAGCAAATTATGTTATCCAACCCAGGAAGGAGGTGTGGAATTCAGGGCACTGCAGGATATTTGTAACTCATTTGCTGCCAAGATGTGGTGGAATTTCAAAACAAAGAATTTTTTGCTTACAAAATTTTTAGAGGCCAAATATTGTAAAAGAAAGCATCTAGTTACTAGGAAAGCCTCATATGTTCACTCTCACTCTTGGTCCGGGAAGAAGAAGGAACGTAGTTTCCATTCTATTATGTTAGTAGATTCGCTAGTTGATGCCGAGACGAGGTATCCACACCTAGAGAGATTAGCGTTTGCCTTATTAAGCGCATCTAGAAAACTAAAACCATACTTTCAGTGTCACCATATATGTGTTGTGACCTCGTATCCGCTAAGGAATGTTATGCATAAACCCGAGCTTTCAGGTCGGCTAGCAAAATGAGTCGTAGAGGTTAGTGGGTACAAACCCTGAACATCTATAAAGTCTCAGATTTTAAACTTCGTGGCCGACTTCACACGGCATTGATCCCCAAGGTCGAGAAAGAATTATTACATACCTTGGGGAATAGCTCGGGGGTCTGGTCCCTATTCACGGGCGATGCTTCCAACGTGAAAGGGCCATGGTTGGGAATCGTACTAAAACCACCCACAGGTGATGAATAAGGCAGTCTATTAGAACTGTAAAATTGACTAACAATGAAGTCGAATATGAGAATATGACTGCAGGTCTAAAACTGGATAAGAGCCTGGGGGCTAAGGTGATTGAAGCCAAGTGCGATTCCCTCCTTGTTGTAAACCAAGTTAACGGAACATTCGAAGTAAAAGAAAATCGGATGTGGACATACTTGGATAAATTACAAGTATCATTACATCAGTCAAGGAATGGACACTACAACATGTGCCCTAAGATTAGAATAGCAAGGCCGACGCATTGGCTAATCTAGGGTCGTCAGTCGACTCTGATGAATTTAATATGGAACGGTGGTGCAATTGATGAGCCCGATGATAGAGGAAGGTCATGATGAGGTAAACTCAACAAGCTTGACTTGGTATTGGAGAAACTAATACATAGAATACCTTTAGAAAGGGAAATTGTCATCGGGTCCCAAAGAATCAAGTGCCTAAAACATAAATGTATCATACTTGTATCACAATTTTATCTAACTTGTATCTGGTACATTAATACCCAAAATAATACCTGATAAAATACTAATAAATTAATATATAATTATCATATTTGTGATACAAATTGTGAAATTCGTCACAAATTCACCAACTGCTCGTAACAATATACAATGAATATACAATTATCGTACATTTGTAATACAATTCTTGCAACAGTTATGATACATATACAAATATAATACAGTCGGGATACATTTCTGAAAAATTATGATACAATTATGATCTTTATTTTTCTCAAGTTTCAATCACAACTCTACACTAAAAATTTAATATAATTGTATTAATATTGTATCCACAACTTACCTACAACTTGATTGTAGAGCAAAATTTTGAATTCCTTTTGTATTGAGATTTTGGATGATTGAAAGAGAGAAATCGGATATCAAAAACTTTGAAAGAAGGAATCTGCAATTTTGGGGTGGTAACAGTGGATGATTGAAAGAGAGAAATTGGATATCAAAAGCTTTGGAAGAGAAGTGAGTAAGCGAGATTAAAGGGTTAGAAAGATTTTGGGCATCAGTGGGTAAGGGAGAATTCTTACGGTGGGTAAGTACAAAATTGGAAGATGTTTTTGTAATCATTTTGGAAAAGAAAGAGAATCTTAAATGTAGGGGGATTATGTGTAACCGGTACGCTATATTTAAGGTATGTTGCATTTCCTCTTTTTCTATGGTTTTGTGTAAAACTAGTAAATATAAGTATATAAATAATTAACAAGGAACCTAAATAAAGATAATAAATAGGTTTTTATTATAGTATAACTAGGTAAAAATCCCTTATTTTTATTTCCAAAGTTAAAGAGTTAAGAGATTTAGCCCAAGGATTTGTTTGGGCCAATCAAACAAAGCCCAAGAAGCAGAAAAGATCGTCGGCCGCGTTATGGATTTTGATTTGGCCCCAAGAGCAACAAGTTATCATTAAAGCCAACTTAAATTTAGGTTCTATATGTTCTTTCTTTATTTGATTCATTCCCATCACTTTTATATGTACGTGCCATAAAGGCAACTCGTTTGCACTTTCTTTAGCTATATTTGTCGTGAAATTAAGTGACTCAAATAGAGAAAGGTAATATTCCTTCCAGGATGAATAAGGTAATGGAACAAGAATACAGGGGGATTATATATCACCTAATGTTACTGGCAAGTGCCATATATGGACCAATTATAGCAACAAATAACCTAATTACGACCAAGTTTGTGTTCTTCATATAGATTTTTTTGGTCACAGACCTACAACCAGTTGGGTTAGGTTTCATTTACTTTATATTGTGTACTTCTCGTGAGTCCCATAAGTGAGTGAACGCTACCTAATT